TGGGGGGCACGGGGGGTGGGGGGCTGTAGTAAATTACGACCTACGACGGCCTCCTGTCCCACCACGTACGGAGTATTGCAGTGGGCAAAGGACACACGTTTTGACAGATCCCCCAGCAGGGAGAGTTTACTGTGGGGAAAGGGGCGTTCACCAGTAAGTGTCAAACTCACTGTTAGTTAAGATACCCAACTTAAATACAAGCTTACCGGTAGTTGCGCTTTACTTTTTAAAATAAAATCACCCGTAACATACAAATATATGAATAGCTATGTTTTAACTCCATGTTCTACAAAAAATCTGCAGTAGTTGCGTCGCTATATGAACGTGTGACAGGTGGTGTTATGATTTTGAAGCTTAATGAGCCAGAAATTAGCACAGTTCCGCTGTACCTTTTATTGTTACATAAATAAGCAGGAAGCATTATTCTCGTTACCGCGAGCTTGACGTCATTTCCCCAACTGTGCGCCCTGCCCTGCTTTAGTTTGCAGTTGAGTGCGCGAGGCTGGTTCGACAGAATTATATAACTTTAATGCGCTCACGGGTTTAATGGCGCTGCAGCTCTAGTTTTTGCTAACGGATTTGTCGACCTGCTGCTTTTTTCCCCCCATCTAATTTTATTTGCGACCAAAGAAACTCGACCCATCGCCCCCCTCTTACGTTTCCTCCCTTCCCCTCCTCTACTGGCGACGTTTTTTAAAAGTTATCGACACATCGGCTAGACGGCGCACAAGATGGATCGCGGACTCCACTGAGGTCAGCGACGTTGTTGACTTCAGTTTGAAACAGTTGACAGCGCGGGCGGCGTTTTTCCTGCTTCGCTCCCAGTGAGGCATAAGCCCCAGCAGCAGAGGGAAAGCCTTCTGGTATTTCTCTACGCAACATTTCTGCAAGGAAAGGCTTCTACACTGGAGCGCTTCTTTGGGTGGACGCTGCGTTTTTTTAAACTCAAACTCGGGACTAACAGGAGATGACCTGAACAGCGGAGCACTCTCATTTAAAACAGGTAACAACCGCTTTTCGTTGCTTAACAGTTTATATTAAATTGCCATGAAAGTGTCAGGTAATGAAAGGAATGGAACCGTAAAACTGGCTGTTAACGCCGAGGTAGGCCGACAACAAGAGGGCTACTGTAACGATAGTCATAGCTTCGGTCTAACAGTGTCAGTGACAGATTAAAAAAAAGCTACTTTAGACACGAGCCTAAAAGAAAACTAACAAACACAAAAAACGTTGCAAAAACTTCGGCTGAACAAACGACTATTTATTGACGCTGGCGGTGTAGTCGTGTGATCAGCGCAGTTTCCTCTCAGCGCCAACAGGTTGCACTAATGCTGTCAAACAGTTTTAATGTTCTGTGTGAAATGTACAGAATAGACAGATCGGCATCCTTCTAAGTAAAACTGATTTCTTCGTTATCTTCTCTTTGTTCTTCTTCATAACTTTAAATACGTTATGCAGGACAGGAATGTAATTAGCGTAAGAGCTCTTGATACAAAAGGATCCATTTGTAACACACGGTAAAAGTGGTAAAACACATGCCCAAAACAGGTCTTTTTTATTGTTTTTTACAGGGTAAAATAACGTATTTATTTCATATTTAAACTTATTTATTTAATATTTGTGTTCATTTGATTTCAGTTAAAACAGTTGCATAATTGCAGTGATTTTGAAAGAGGAATTCATCAAGTAAAGCACCACCTTGCATGTTTAGGTAAAACTAAACACTTAAAAATAAAAAGTACAAATTTAATTAAAGAAAATACTCACCAGTCGCCCTTACAGTTTTTGTAATGATTACACAATGTTTTATTAAGGCAAGGTGGGCTTTTTTTAATAACTTGGCAAAATGCTTAAGAGTCAGATTAAAATAACCACTCTTACATTTTATTTATTTCCGCCTTAATTTTTTGCCATTAATATTTTATGCAAAGTCTGACTAACTTGCCAATTTCCTCATGGTTACTCATGCAAATGGTGTCAACGCCAACTGCTACAAATGCCTTGAGGCCCATATTGGGGTTAATCTCTTGTATGTTGTAGCACATTTGCTTACAGTAGCAGTGCGTGCAGGACATGTCTTACTGGGGCATTTGTTGCGCTCCTCTTTCAAATCGACATCAGTCAGCTCGCTTTTTTTCATACCCATGCTTTAGTTTCCTGTGTGGGTGTGAGAAAGGAAAAAGATGGTCTCTTTGGTTTTTGTTTTTTTTTTGGGTGGTTTTTTTTTCTAGCTGGAATTACCCAGTAGATCAAAATTTATAAGTTATATGTAGTGCAATGGGCACTGACTGTTTTTAGATTACAACACGTGATTTAAGACATCTATTTTTGTAAAAGCTCTGTATTTCAAGAAGCATTTAGCCATGCAGATAGTGGGTCATCCTATCCATCAAATCTCTTTTAGTAGGCCAACTGTGTCTTATCTTTCTCACTATGTGTGTGCATGTTATGCACTCTTAAACTTAACCTTACTGTCCTGTCAGGATAAAGAAATGGATCAGGGAGGACGGGAGCGCAACAGTAATCGAGACGACAGCCTGACATTTGGGGAGGTGGGAGTCCGACTAAGTAGCAACGCTGGTGACACAACAAGTTCACTACTCCTTTCTACAATGCACCTGCCTGGCCCTGGGTCCTTGCCACATCTCACAGTTCCCCCAAATGCTGAAAGGAAAGAGCAAGGAGAGTATGGAGCCATCTTTAAGTCTCCTCATCCACAGTGTGAAGGGCCACACATGAAGGAGGGCAAAATTGTCAGAATGGAGAAACAACAGCAGCAGCAGGATGTTGGTATGTTCAACATTAAGGGCAGTGAGCCATTTTTGAACCCAAATTTTTCTGATCCTGATCAGACGTCAACCTGTGTAATCAACACATCAGTCTCCTCTGTCCACGGAAGCCTCCCCATATCTGATCTTTTCCCACAGCAAATTAAACAGGAGGAACCTTTTTCTCTGGAACGTGATTTAGGAAATTGTAGTGGACTCACAGCCAGTGGCCCATGTCTTTTGGACAACAGCACTCGACTCATTGAGGAAACTGACATTTGGCAAGCCCTCGACCTTCCGAGTTCATTGCCAGAAATCAGTGGTTTAGAGTTGGATTCGGAAATGGAACACTTACAAAACATACTGCATCATGGCGATGTCGGTGGTCCTGACAGCAGCTTGCTGAAGGAACCCAAAATGGGTAACAGGGGGAACTGCACCAGCTTGAATGGTGCAGACCAGCAGCACCCCATGCACCATACTCAACACCTGCAATCTGGCCACTTACTGCAGCACCAGCAACATCCACATCACCAGAGTTCATTACTTCTGTCTACAGTTATGGTCAAAGAGGAAGAGAAAGATCAGGACGACTTCATCCAAATCCAAACCCCAGGTGTAGTAAAACTGGAAAAGAAGGGCAGCAGTGGATTGTGTCAGTCACAGTGTCTTCTAAGCAGTATGAACCCTCTACAAACCGGAGGCCCTTTGACACCAACCATGAGTATGGGTGTTGGACATGGCTACCAGTATAAAGCAAACCAGCCCTCCTCGTTGGACCTTCCTGACCCTTATGGCATGTATCCAAACTTACCTCAAATGGAAGAGAGCTGGTCCAGAGTGAACAAGTTTGGGGAGCCATCTGGGCTACAAAGGGCCAATGACGGGCTCTCCTCAGCTTTTATTGTCAGCTTTCCCAGGTAGGGCGATTGGTTTCAGAGTTCTGCTGTTTACTTATTTTGTTTGTGGCAAATTGTTGGCTTTGTGCTTGCATTTAAGTTGTAGTGTATTTGTCTTTGTGCATACAAGGTAGCATCTCATCATATTTGTTAAATTTGGGAACAGTAGCACAATTTTGCCTAGTTATTTTTCAAAAAAAAAACTGTAGTACAGGCAGTCAAAGTTTTGCTTTCATTTTCAAAGACATTTTTTTCCCCTTTTTTCTATTTTTTTAGAAACTCAATTCACTAAATAACACTGTTCCCAAGGGTGGTTATGGGAACTGAGGAAACATTTGAGTCTAAATCAGGATTAGTAGGCAGCATTCAAGGACTGAGGTTTGTTTGGGTTAAATGCAATAGGATCCTCAAGTTGTGCAGTGTTTATGTCCTTTGGGATTGCTGTTTATCTTAGATTTATTGGATTAACTGGCTCCATTTTTAGGACGGTGCCACCTGCCTTCAATTGACTCATCAATTTTTCCAAACTATTCACATGCCCTCCCACCACTGAGCAATGCTATGATGATAAATTAGGTTTTGATCCTTGTCAGTGGAGGTAGATACAAGTTAGAGTAAGAATTTAGTGGAATTTTCCAACAGTTACTTCCTCATTGTGAAAGAAGTTGTAAAACAGTGCATGGTAAAATATTATCTCAGTGTTGGATTAATAATCCTAATCCAGAAAAAAAAATGATAGACTAAGAAAACAGGAGGTGTGTGTTTTCAGAGGGTGCTGCATTCGTAGCAATGTCAACTGAGCCTGGAGAGAGTTACGTATATGGAGTGAATTTAGGTCAAGCAATGGGAAAGATCCAGTTCAGTGGAAAACTGATTGAATGTTAAGAACGATATTTGCCCATGTCACGAATGAAGCCATAAATGTGCAAATCATGCAGTGCTGTAATGTTTGATGACTAGATAGTCTGGTAATTTTTTTTTTTCAAGCCTTGTCTGCTTTGTATGTGAATGTGGCAGCTACTGTTATCTCTATGCTCTCAGACTGATACACTGCTGTGTTTGGCCCTCTAACAATTTAAACTTGACTAAAATCTTATTTAAATTATTGTTTTCATACAGTACCTGCTAAGTCTCTTCTTCACTGGCCATTTTGTTTGTATGAGTGCTTTTCTAGTTCTGCTGACAATTTTAAAAGCTTCACACTACCAGGTGTGGAACTATTGCCACAACCCTTTGTTTTAAGACAACTGCAGTACCTTCAGTTCCACAGCCACCCCCCCAAAAAAACTAATTTATACAAAGAATTCTCTTATTATTTTCACAAATGTTGTAATTTGCAGTTGCCTTAAGATTGACCAATTTGATACATTACATTAGTACAACTACTGAAACATAGTATTAGTCCATCCATCCATCCATCTTCAACCGCTTATCCGGGGCCGGGTCGCGGGGGCAACAGTCTGAGCAGGGACACCCAGACTTCCCTCTCCCTCGACACTTCCTCCAGCTCTTCTGGGGGGACCCCAAGGCGTTCCCAGGCCAGCCGAGCGACGTAGTCGCTCCAGCGTGTCCTAGGTCTTCCCCTAGGTCTCTTCCCAGAGGGACGGCACCCGAGCACCTCCCGAGGGAGGCGTCCGGGAGGCATGCGATGTAAATGCCCAAGCCACCTCAGCTGACTCCTCTCGATGTGGAGGAGCAGCAGCTCTACTTCGAGCTCCTCCCGCGTGACAGAGCTCCTCACCCTATCTCTAAGGGAGCGCTCTGCCACCCCGCGGAGAAAGCTCATTTCAGCCGCTTGAATCCTTGATCTCGTTCTTTCGGTCATGACCATAGTATTAGTAGTTGACAATATTTATCTTTAAAAACAAAACAAAAGCCAATGTACAATTTATAAAATTAGATGTTGTGTGTTCTTCCAAAAAAATGTTTTCACGTCATTAATTAATTTCAAACCTCAAATTAATTAATTGTAGAGTAATTGATTAGTTGTTTTTTTTTTATTATTAGTTGTCATTATTACACCTTCGCAGCTCTGATGCACGTTTACATTTTGTTATATCCAGTGGGATTTTTATTTTATTTCAATTTTATTTTTACCCCAATTGACATCATTTGTTCTTCTGCTAGGCTGATGTTTTCAAGACCAACAGAATTAGCAACAACTAGAGTAGACTACGTGAGCAACCAGTAGTGACGACAGCATGACATCAAGTACATTTTATAACCTAATAATCAATTTGACACTGCTATAAAACGTATTAGTCATGTGCAATTCTTTAGACAGGGAGTGGAATGAACATAACATGCAATATCTGTTTACCAGGAAGTTAATGTTCAATTAAAGAGCAGTGGAAAAGAAAACAAACCTGTTACCTTGTGAAGATTACATCTTTAAGTGGCCAGAGTTACAGTTTCAGATAGAACAATTTGTTTTTATGGTCGCAAAGGTGAGAGATCTTTGTGGTGTAACTGTCTCGGAGCATACTTCATATGAATGTAGATCTAGACAGTGTAGCTCAAAATACACAAATGGGATACCATCATTACCCTGTTACATTTCCTCCTATTCTTAAATGGCTTTATACCTATTTTTCATTACATTCAGTCATTCTTCTGTTGAAACAGTGGTGACACATGAGAGAAAGAGATAAAGACAGAGCTAGAGAGAGATGGGAGATGAGTTAACTTTAAGCAAATGCTTGTGAAATTCATTTATAGTGAAGAGCTATTGGTTAAGTTATAGGTATTATCTTTGTTGCATTTATAGTCAGTAAAAAGTCTGGCCTCCATTTCCCCACAAAAAGTAAGATATTCTGAAATTGAGCCATACAGTGTGTCTCATGACCCAGTTGTCCTGAGAGAAATTCTACAAACACGCAGTATGTTGAAATGTGCCTCTGTATCAGAAGTAGTAAAAACAATGAGCCTGTTTATATTGATGATATACTTCACTTACGTTTTATTGGAGACACTTATGTAAAATTAGGTAGACAATGTGCTGCAGCTGACATGTTGAGAAATGAGAACAATCTTTGGTGGCGCTGTAAAACAAACACAGTGGTTGGGCAAATAACATTTGTTTAGTTACTGGTGCCATTTCAGGTTTCTTTGGCCTGTCCAACATGTCTATTTGTGGTTTGTCTGGTCTGTGGCCTAAGCTGTGTGCTGTGTGGCACCAGTTTTTTTACAACCAACAATTTACACAACAATTAGACCCTGCTTTCTATTTTGCATATATCTTGTTTCCTTGTTCCTTTGTCTTGTTTTTATTTTTTCAACTTAGTATTACATCTGGCTATAAAAGTTCACAGCCCGGCTGACTGTAAAAATACCTAAAAAGCTGATGTAAACCCTGTTTCTGTGAACCAGCTGTGGAAGTCACGACACAGGTTTGGTGTGCTTTCTTCATGTGTATGTTTGTACACAGAGATGCTGAGAGGCCACGTGTACATATCCAACTTTCTCTCTCTCTCTCTCTCTCTCCCTCTCTCTCCCTCTCCCCCTCTCCTTTTCTACCATCCTTCAGTCTCTTTCCCCCTCTCTTTAGAGTGTTACTCAGTCACTCTTCTTCTCACTTACTCAGCGTTCACAGGCATCTCAGAGCTCTTTGCAGCCCTACTAATGTTACAATTGTAACAACTACTTAAATTGCTCTTATTGTAAAAAATAATTCAGTTTAAATGTAAAGGGAGTTGCTCTGAATTTGTGATTAAGTAATTTATTCAGTTTGAAAATGGAGTGTCTTTATATGAGGACGAGTTGCCCATGCTATTTTGGTTTGGGATCCGTATGTACGTACATACATCACCTAAGTGATGTACCTTTATTGAAAATCTACTGGGCACCCCTGAATTAGGATGACAATGGAGCTGAAGCTTGGCTTTAAAATATTCTTCAGTAAAAAAAAAAATCAGAAGTGAGATTTTTCACAGATCATTTTGCCGTTATGACGACTGTTTTGCCACACTTCATCAAAGTGGTGCATCATGGTATTACTGTAGCTTTCAGGGCCTGTTTGTGTGTTTTTCTTGATTTAAAAAAAAACCTTACATAATGCTTTGCTGACATTCATGTAGAAATGAAGACTCTATATCCAAGTCACAATAACTTGAAATGTTGTCGAAGACCTATATTTTTAAATTAAGACTAGCATGACTGAACAGCACGTTTCAACACTTTTAAAACCAAACATACTTTTAATAATACTATCCCTCAGTCACAGTCGAAGGTTGGTTTTGAGCATAGCAGTGGAGTTGGTAGCCTGCCCCAGTATTACAGTTGCATTTTTTTACATGTTGTTGCTTGTGACTAGTACAGGTAGTAGAGATATCATCTTTGACTTTATTGTTTGCTACTGCTACTCTCAAGTATAGAATTTCCAGTTGTGAGAGCCTTTGCTTAAGAGAACACACCCAGAAGTCACGTTAGTGACTGAGATGAATAAAATTATTTAGGAATATAAGCCTTATTTATGAGTTTTTGGTCATATAATCTTTTAGAAACCTCCAAGGGCTCATGGCCATGGCAGAATACTGTGGCTGACTGTCAGTTGATCAGTCTGTGTCATGTGATTCTCTTATATCCTTAAAAGAATGATTACATTATGATAAAAATGTTTTATGTTATGTATGTTGTAATAAGTTACTTTAGTCATGCTTCAGCTCACTTGACATTAATTTGGTTATTGATGTCATAATGCCATGCATTTAAGTAGTAGCAGTAGTAAAAAAAAAAAAAGGTTGAATTAACAGTGTGCATGCATTTTTTACTTCACTTTTTGTCTTATTTACTTGACTTAGATTAAATAAGTTATAGTGCTTATGGCGTTTTATCCAGATATGAAGGGATATATGTGTGCACAAAATCACACCCCATTTACACACTGCCAGTACAGCTGCTTGAAGCAGCTGTTGAGGGAAGGCATTCAGTGAAGTACTAAGTCTACACGAAAGGATCCGAGGGTTGAGGCCAAGATCTTCCAGACATGGTTGCAGGAGCCAGGTTGCATTATAAATATAATC